TTTATTAAAAATACACCACCATCACAAGAACACAATCTCTCGTTAATTCTCACAAAAAATTTCCAATTCCAAATCAAATCAAGTCAAAATAATCACAAAATGATTCGTAAATCAACGACGATCACTTCAATTCTGTAAAAACATCTCATTGATCACAAAACTTTAATCGATACACACCTACAGATCATAATTATAGCAGTAAAACCATACAATACAGCACAGTACAGTTCAATCCGATACAATACAACACATTTTTAAATACAATACACTGAAATTTTAATAATACAGACCAAATCCGACTAAAAAATCAATTCAATGACTGCAAAAAAACAACATTCACTGAAATCTAAAACCTAAAATTTATTGATCACACTCGGATGGTACTCAAACCATAAAAAAATTCCATTTCAGGTTTCTAAAATATCAAAATCAGGCTGTCTGAACCTCGGACAGCACCCGCGACCTCATCTCCGCCACGCAGTTCTCGTAACCGTTCACCAACGGTGAACAGTTCAGTAGACGCGTCTTGTTTTTTTGTAAACATTCCATTATATCCTGAAAATATCCATATTTTATACCACAAAAATCCACCAAAACCTTCATCTCAACGTCACAAAATCACTTTACAAGATTTGAGAGGATTTAAATTTCGAAAATTTTCAAAAATATCCAAAATTTGCCCACTTTTTCATTCGATTCGCACACATTCTCCAGCTGATGATCGAAAAACATCCGTTCGACGCGTTCGATGGTTTCGTTGAAAACGCGTTTACGCTCCTCCATTTCCTCGAGCGTAATCTTACCCGCACCCCTCTCTGCATCTAAATGATTTGCAAATCAAATCAGATCAAATCCTACTGATTAAACAGTTACTATGACCAAAATAATGAGCCCATAATCTAGACTCCAGACATTATAAAATAATCGTGGATTCAAGTGCGAGCCCAGCAGAAGTCACTGCATCCCAGCAGGCTTGATACCTAACTTGAATCTAAATCTATCAGAATCAAGGACGGACGGACCATTTGGCACGTACGCAGAAGACTGCTTCTGCTGGAGTTCCGTCAGATGGTAGACTTGCTCACGTAGACGTTCGTTCGCGGCACGTTCCTCGTTCAGTTTTTCCCTAAAACGAAATAATTTTTTTGGGAAATTGAGAAATTTTTAAAAATTCCACCTAAAATTCGGAAGATTCAGAAAGTTTCTCAACTCAAAACTTTTAAAACGAATGCAAAAAANAAAAAATAGTCCAAACCTTAAAAATTGTATCTTATCCGCATCTTCCGTCGGCGGTTGTGAGGCCATCACTCTGTTTACAACCGCACGTGAGACGCCAACGGCCCGGTATTCTTCGGGTATTTCGGTTCGCTCGATACGTACTACCTGAACAGGTTAATTGTTAAGTTCCGTAGGACAGTCACATTGAATCTTGCCATCTTTACTCTCATTCTCCTGTTTATATCATTAGCAAATGGAAAGTAAATCTCAATTTCAGCTAACATTTGAAGGCTGATGGCGTTGCGGTTCGTCGGCCCTCGAAGATTTGTCGTCATTCGATGCTTGTTCTTGACTTTGGCCTGCACCCATTGTGTTCTGATCTGAATATGAAGCGTTTTATTTGAAGAAAGAAAGCGTTCAAATCAAAATATTCACAGCTGCGAACATTCCAACAAATCAATCACTATATCGAAAACGACCAATCCCGTTCTTTCCACTAAAACAATGATAAAGCGACTGCGTTAATACAATCCGCCGCACCCGTCAAAATGATTCAAACACCCAAATTAAGCTAATTAATTAATCAAACGTGCAAATTATTCATGAAAAAATGACAGACAATACTGAAAATAAAATTCTAAACAGGGGTGTGGACACTTCGCCAAAAGTTGTTCGAGAGCATTTGCCAACATTTGTTGTAAACGTTTCGCCAAATAGGTGCAGTGACAACTTGCCGAAAACGGGGCAAGTGATCGAAAACGGAATACGTATCGAGCGAATGACGCATAATATAAATACAATGGAAATAAATAATATCAAAAATACAATATAACGATAAATATAAGCACTATCATGCTCAGATAACGATATAATCCGCTTTGAGCACTTCTATAACAATTCAAAAGCTAATTCCTTTAATAGGCCAAACGGCTATATCGATGATCAACAAATCACAGATCAACGATAAGCTTACTTCCAAATCGATCACGGTTTTAGATCAGTTTATGCATGTATAGGATGAGAAGCATTCTCAAGACAACTTTACGTCTTAAAGCATCTTAAAATTTCTCAAATCATTACTTAGACAAGATTCCCTTCTATCAGGAAACTTC